ACCTTTTTGACGATGAGAACCCACATATGAGAGCCTCATGTACCCAACTATAGGCCAATTAATGTCCATAATGCAAAGAGAAAGAAGAGGAAGAGAAGGAATGAGAACAAAGAGAAAAAGTGAAATGACCCCTCCCCTCTCGAGGAACCATCTTCTCCAAGTTGTTTTTGGTGGCATTCCATTATTGTTTTGTTTTTTTTGTGGTAAAATTATGTGTATGAAGAGAAGCCACGTATATGATTATGGTGCATTATGCAAGGAAAATCAAAAAAAGTTTGGAAAACATTGCTGAAGATTGTCATTTTACAGGTGATCCTTGGCACAAAGTAATAACTCGAAATGTGGTGGTGTGTCTTACCATTTTCTGGTTCTTACTAGGCCAGTTCTTTAAAGGTTAAATTTTAACATTGTGGAAAGGATAGTAATTTACTAGCTTATTATTATCTATATCCATATAATGTTGTAAGAAAATTGTATTAAGAAAATTGTATTAAGATTCGTATTTGGATATCTTCCAATAATTTGAGTTAATGAGATAGATTTATTCACTTTGCATGGCATATGTATCGGAGCTTTTGACGGATAATACTTGTGTTCACTTCCTCACGACTCCAATATCAACCATTGATTAAAGCCATACACCAAAAAAATAATGTATATTGTTGTTAGGGGTGTCAGTTCGGGTCGGGTTCGGTTATCTGAACCGAAACCCGAAAACCCGAAACCGAAAACCACTAAAACCGAACCCGAACCCGATAATGACTTGCGTGTTCTGGTTACCCGAAACCCGAAAATTCCTTATCGGGTTCGGGTTCAGTTAAAGCAAAACCGAAACCCGAATGCCTAAGAATACGGGTTGAGTTCTATTCATTGGAGTTTTTTAGCCGGAACCCGAAAAACCTATAAGAAAAACCGAACCCGAAACCGAAAAATCAGAAACGAACCCAAACCCAAAAAACCGAAAATATATATAATCGGGTTGGTTTCGGGTAAACCCGAAACAACGAACCCGAATGGACACCCCTAATTGTTGTTCAAACTTCATATTGGAAAGCCTTGAATATGTTTATCTAGCGGTATGATTGCTCTGTCTTTGGTTTTGAATATGTTTTTACGTCACTGGCATGTAATGTATTAGTGAACAACTTAATTTCATGCGTCATCAATTTTCTTGTCCTATCATTTACCCGTCCATTATAACACTTCAAACTCATGCATTGATTTTTCTTTTTATTCGGTATGATACCAAGTCACTAGAGTTCAAATAAATAGTTGTTTTAGTTGAGTTCAAGCTTATCCTAATTTACGCAACTTCCAAATTTTATCAACCGTGCGAAATGATCACATCCTTAATTACCATCCACAAAACACTGATTATGACATATTTTGTTAAACAATCAAAACCAATCATATAATATATAATGTTTTCAACATAATGTCTAATTAGTCAAGTAAAGTGTCGCTGTTTATGTATATAGCCATTGGCTCCTTGCGATTTGGAAGCATTTCGTTTGTAAGTATTTGCCCGTACGTGGAAAAGGTAAACGATGCCCTCGAAAGCAGCCGGGCCGTAATCTAGATGAAGGGCAAATGGCAAAACAACGATAACAAAGTTTTCATTTGAAGAATCTATCATCGTCATTGACGCTAAACGCAGCGAAAAACACACAGATTTAAGTGAGTTCACTAACACGATGCGTGTTACGCCTAATTCATAAACATGAGAGACCATTTTCATTATATTTGGGAAGGATACTGTTTAATTACAAAGGAATTTAGAAGGTATATATAGCACCTTCTCCATATATGATCTAACACTAATACAACTTGCAAAGGGAAAAAAGTTACAAAACATGTCCAGAGCAGAAAACCGCATACCTCGTAACTTCTACTCGACGATAGGTAAGCAAACTTCAAGTCACATTGCATTAACATTCTCCAAGACGATCCGCATTTTGTCGGGGTCGAGAATTATAGTATTATTACGATATACACATCGATACGAAGAATGAGAATCCATGCTTCGTGAATGGATTCTCCTCCATGACAATCCATTTCAAATCATTATTACTATCGGATTCAATCTTGAAGGATCCACAAACAAGTAGAGAGAGTGATCATGCACCTAAGTAAACACGATCTTGAATGAAAGAACCCTCCATCTAACGTTCCAATTAACTAAACCACTTAATTACAATATTTCGTTGAAATGGTCTTCAAAAAGATTAAATGACCATTGTTTATGAGACAAATCCAAGGACTTTCAAACAATAGTATGGTGAGAATCGAAGTTTTTATATTAGGTGGGTGCATATAATATATAAAATCATATTAATACAAATAGGTCACGCAATTGCATGGGGGAGAAAAAAAATCAAGAAAATATGTAGCAGATATTGACCATTCCAATTAGAAGATAATAAAAAAATTATACTTATATTTTTTGTTGCTAACTATCTTGCTTATTGGGATCCTGAGTTCTTTTATAGGCTTTCACATTATAAGCACTCCTGAACAATTATCTTATTGAATCGGCTTAATTATATTGTCGAGATCTCAAAAATGTAATTGATTAATTGTATGCATTAAGATGCTACACCAAATAAAAATTGGAAAGGTATATACCAAATTATAAAAGGAAATTTTTTATAGTTGCATAATATTTCTAAATCCTGGTTTACTACATTTTTTTAATATGATTATATAACTTTAAATTATGGCTATCCGTACATTATGCGTTAAAACACCCGCGTATGAATTTCTAAAATCGTAATCGTATAAATATTTGAATGATTCTTATCTAGTTCATGGCCTATTAGAGCGAGAAGGCACTCTGGTGAGATCCTCACGAACAGAAAATGATTGCAATCAGTTTGATAATAATCGAGTGACATTGCTTCTTCAGCCCGAACCAAGGAATCTTAAAATTAGACCGAAAGACGTAATCGATGTCCAACCGAAAGTTTATTATATGTGAAGCCGAATGAACGAAATAATGAACTCGAAGAAACTGCTTTAAATACAAACAAGTTGTGTTAATAATTTTTACGTTAAACTAACTAATGATTGATGTTTATTTATGAGGAGATGACACCAAAATTCCGCAACCCACATGTGTTGGTAGGAAACAGCCAAAACCCCATTCAATTTTAATAGTCCATTGGGATTGGAGTGGTCAAGAAAAAATGTGTAACATTCGTATAATATCTGTTCTTATATTCGTACACACATCTCTTTTCAAAGTGGGACTCAAATTTATTTTATTTTTCAATGTGGAGGATCAAATTTACCAATAATAAATTTGGGGTATTTTCCTTGAAATCTGCCAAGCTTATAAAGTCCTAATGATGAGCTGAGGAGATGTGCTGTGATGGGGCCTGGCCTGGTTGGATATTCCGAGACTATATAGAATACATATTCTTCAGAAGTTCGATAGTTGACTGAGGAAGGGATTGCATACGACTTGAGATCAATCGGTTCTTCACATTGTACTAATTTTAGGCAAGTCTTGATTGTTACTTGCTCTCATTGTTCTGAAGCGTCTATTTAAGCTAATAAGAGATTTCGGTAAATTCGTTAATTATTTGATGAACAAAGTTAATATTCGAGAGAGATAAATATATTGTTGGGAGTCCTCTTCTACCGTTCTTTCTATCCCCTTGGTTGTGATGACATTAATGTTTGTACTCTTCATTTGTGGTGCGCCTCAACAATAAAGTATTGTCGTAAACTAAAATAGGTGCATGACGTGTGTTTTTCCTTCCTCCTGGTGGTCGTACTACAACTCGTCCTTATTATAAGTGGGTCACACCCCTACGCCGACGAACAAGCTTATGAGCCGCTTCTCCCATTTGGTCGAGTGGGCTTAGTTACCTTGTAATGGACCCAACGAAAAACAATCCACGATAATGAGATATTTGGTGTGAATCTCTATGATCCCCAATGCTAGTACTTGATGGGGAGTGCAAGTGAATGATAGTAGTATAAGATTCATTATTGTTGGTGTTCATCCAAGAACTCGAATTGCTGATATCAACCTGTTATTAACATTTTCTTGGTGACAAGATTTCACTCACCCAACTCAACAGAATAATATCCAATTTTCTCTAAAACATTTAAAGGGGATTATTCTTATTTCTTAATTGTGGGAAAATGTCAAAAAATAGAGGGGGAAAACAGAAATTAATTGGCTTGACAATGAAGGAAACATAAATACAAATTAAGCAAAGGGAACCAAATGGAGACAGTCAGTCAGCGCCTCAGCCGTATAGCCAAAAGGGCCAAAAGAAAATACATTTCAAGAAATTCTGGCGGTTTTGTCTCAATCTGTCCTCTAACTAGTCACCAAAGTCCAAAAGGGTAAAAAAAAAAAACAATTAATCCAAGCATATTCTACTCATAATTTTTTCCTTATAATGATTAACATTACAATGAAATTTTGAAGTCGAATAAGTTTTATAATTATTTATAATATGAACATATGGTAATTGATTTCTGCATAGATTCACACACTTCTCTGTTCACTATTACACTTGCAAATCGAGAATTAAGATCATTCTGAAACGAATCAGATAACCGAAATGACAATTACATAATTGTAACTCAAAATTAGTAGTCTACCACAGACAGATAAATATTTTTACTCTTAATTACCCTTTGATCACTCTATTTATTAATTAACTGGAAAAATGGGGGAAAAAAGGGACAGTTTTAGGGTCAAAAGAGTTGCTTGCTACTAGAGAGAAGGGGGAAAAAGGAGTGTGAGAGAAAGTGAAACATAAAGAATTAAAGATAGGGGGGAAACATAGATAATTAATCAAGGGAAAGAAATTCATATCCAATTCATAGCAATTGCAAATCCAGCTCATTTGATTCAATTTTCTTATTAAGCTCCAAGTTTGGTGTTATTGGCTCCTTGATCTAGTAAAACCTAAAAAGTCCCACCTTGGCCCTCCCTATAGGGTTATTAGATTTATTAGACATTTGGAGATGCACAATTCAAAATCATGTGCTTTGTATTTGGTACAAGAAGAGAACCATGGAAGATTTTAAAATCAAGAATAAGACACATTACGTGAACTACAAAGGACGAGCAAAATATAACCGTACGTAGCTCAATTGGTAACGTGTTGCGCTCACATGGAAGAGTTCTCAAGTACAAATCTGTATCCAAAAAAGGTTTTCCTAAAAACATTCTTTCTTCCGCTCTTATAAAAATGAAGTGTAACATAGTTCTGCAAGCAATTGTAACATAGTTCTGCAACCAACGGTGTAATAAAGTCGACTTGAGGAAATGAACATGGTAAATTAGGTGTAAAATGTTTTTGAACGACACTTATTGGCGAGTCTAGTGTTTGCTTTCTATCATCAACAAATCAAGCACATACAACTGAAAGAAAAGAAAATGCCTACAAGGAAGATGACGTGAAACATGTCAGCTATCTCGCGGTTGTCGTCCTCTCTCAAGTATTGTCGGGTCAAAAAGATCTGGTGGAACTTTGCTTCTCGTTGTTAGTAACCCAACACCAACCCATATAATGTTGAGTCAACTTACTATGAGAGGATGATTAATGTACTACTACTCTCCAACCTCTAATGGTTTGGGGTTCAATCCACCTAGCTAGCCTTCCTTTTCCCCCCAATTTGGAATGTGTTTGGCTTTTGACACTAGGCTTTGTAGCAAAACAAGTAACAAGGAGGAGAACATATTCAATGAGAGAAATTTTACAATGCTATATAGTATTGGTGCTATAGGATTTTGCCTTTATGGTACAACTTAAAATTATACATTTACGTTATGGTACAACTTCAGATTGTACCTATACTTTTTGTACAAATTCTTTTATGGTACAACTTGAACTTGTACTTTTATGTGATGGTACAACTTCAAGTTGTAAAGTTGTACCATAACATAATGGTACAAATTGCTTTATGGTACAACCTAAACTTATACATTTAATGTTATGGTACAACTTTAAGTTGTACATTAAAGCACCAATACTATATAGCATAGTAGAAGTGCTCATTCAATGAACCATGAAACATGAAAACTATATGCTATATACAAAATGGTGGTGATGGTTTTTCCTTTCTCATGTGTTTTCCTTTCCTTCCCTCTCACTCAAGGTAACATACATAGCAATGAATTTGGATCATCCATTTTGGTCATAATACATTCAAACATCCATATCCACATCCACCATCTCACATAGTCACATGTTAGGTTTCTCCTCTTAGTTTGGGACAAAAAATTCTTCATGGTACTATCAAGTAGGGCCTTTCCATTATGTACATTTTTTTTGTTACCTCTTCTTCTTTTGGTTGCCCCATGTAGCTTTGTGTTGTACTATCAGTCTTCTTATGATAAAAATGAGTGGAGAGGGAAGTTTTGATCCGTACTATTAATTGGATATCAGACACTCGTTAACATCAGAAAAGATTCAATTACAAAGCATGCAACTTTGTTTTGTACAATCATTAGAAGATTATAGGTGACTAGATTTGAATAACCCAATTCGATGAAATAATAAGTTGTCGACGGAAGAACTTAACAAATGCTATAAGCGAGGTCAATATTCGTTGCTAAAAAATGATTAGTGTAAAATCGTAGATTAGATTACCCATCAAGTAAGCTATGTAGTTGATGCAATTTTTCTCTAGATTCAATCCTTGTCTGCAATAATTGTCTATTTTTCATGATTCTACTAGTTATTTACGGGTAGCAGGTTGCCTCGGACGTAGGTGTCGTGATGAATTGACCAAATCGATCCAAAATCAGCGATTTTCGATAATTTACTGTTTTGTATATGCAGAAATGTCACCTAATTTACAAGGGAGAGAAAGGAATCAAACTAAATCATAATAACCCTAATCGAAAATCAAACAAATTGGAGACTAATCTCTCCTGTATTTTAAGTATTTAGTTAAACTACCAAAATTCATCATTCTTTTTTACTTAATCCTTTTCTCCTGCGGATTTTTACAAGGGTTGATTGTCAAAACGGCATAATGTGGGTGGTCTTGGTGTCGTAACTAGAAAGGCACGACTTGGAATTCACCCGGAAAATCCTCAACAAGTCCGTCGACATCTGCCTCACCGCCGGCGAGCAGTTGCTCTGCATCAGCAGCAGGATCCTCGTCAGCCCGTTGCTCCTGACCACCGCGTCCGCCGCCTTCTGGTCCCTGAACAGGTAGCACGCCGTCCACAGTATCGTCACCGCGACCTCCGTCGCCGCGTCGGACACCTTCATCGCCTTCCTCACCACCGCCTCCACGCACGCCGAGTCCCCGCACAGCTCCGCCATCCCTTCCCGGCACGACGAGACCGACTCGAGCAGCTTCAGGGCCTTCTCCGCCGTCGCGGCCGGGACCGACGGGGATCTGAGGACCTCGCGGAGCTTCCCGATCGCTCTCAGGCGGACGAGCTGCGGCTTCACGCGCTTCGGCATTGAGATCGAGATCAGGCACGAGAGGACGGCGTCGATGAGAGGCAGATCGGTCCGTGGAGCGATGGAATTGACTAGGTGGAGCAGTAATCCGTCGCTTTCCGCCACAGCGAGCTTCGATTCGGCGTCGATGGCGATTGATTGGATGATCCGTACCGTTGCGATTCGCGATTCTGGCCGGCTCCCCTGTTTCATGACACGGAGGAGCGACGGCGGCAGCGAATTGGGGGATTTCTCCTTTGGAATCAGTAACAATCTCTTCAGCTCGTGAAAATCCCCAAATTCGGTCGACACCGAATCCAAAACCCTAACCGCAAGCTCCACCACCGGCGGGGAAAGATCCTTGTCATCCGAATGAATCAGAGCAGCGAGCATTGTGACGAATCCGTCCATCTTCGCCAGGAACCTCCGATTCTCGCTGGATTCCTCGGCAAAAGACGCGATTTTCGACAGGTCGTCGAAGGAGCAATTTCTTCCGGATTCCTTCTCCTCGCCTCCGATTTCCTTGACGACGAGCTGGATTTTGTCCGGCGAGAGCGGCGATGCCGACTCGGCAGAGGAGGCCGAGGAGTCGTCGAGCGGATTGTAGCGGTTTTGGCTGGACCAGGTCTGGATGAGGCGGTGGAGGTTGGCGTTGGGGACGAACTCCTTGGTTTCAAGGACCTGCATCGTCGCCGGGCAGGTGTTGTTGCCGGAGTCGAGCCAGCGCTGGATGCTGGAGCGGTCGTAGGTGACGCCGGTGGAGAGGCTGACCGGGGATTTCATCACGTCGAGCGAAATCGGACACCGGAAGAAGCTCGGCACCGTTATGTACAAGTCGTCCCTCACCATTTCGATTCGTTTTGGGATTTTGTCTTCTGTGTGTTTGCCGACGGAGAGAAAATGGAACAGAGAAGAGAAAGAGAGAGAGAGAGTGAGTGAAGGAAATGGGAAGAAGAAACAGAGAAGGCGACGGTCGGTTTAAAGAGTCAAAGGTCTGGTGATGTCAGCACTCAGCAGCTCTATTTTTTGGGCCAGGGGAATTTTCACTTTTTTTTTCTCTTCTTTTTAAATCTCCTTTTTTTTAGGTTCTGCAACGAATATTATTCTGTTGGTTAATTACTTTTTCAGTCCCTCAAAAATATTGTATATCAATGGAAGTTCCGGAAAAAAAAATGACCTTCGTAAGATGAATTCTCCATTTCAACTCGTCATCCTACTTGGAAATCACTATAAAGATCTAACGGTTTAACTCGGAATCGGAATTCGAATCGCACAATCATCCAACTCGATTGTCATATTACCAAAATTACCAGCCTCGTAAAAGATAAGCTTACACTGCTCTTGCCTATCCAACATAGCAAGCGACGACAGAGAAGCTTCCAAAAATTGCACGTTCAAAACCGAATTGTCACAGTGTCACGCTACCTGTTCGCTCTATCTCCTTTGGTGAATTACAAAGCCCCTACCTCCACAATTTCAAACTTGATGCGGTAGATTCGATTCTCTTCTGAGATTCTAAATGAATAGGGATCAACAAAAATAATTTTCAATGTACTAGAGAACGTGTAGTCGACTCAATATGACTCACACATAGAGAAAAATCGCTATCGGACGAAAAAAGTATAAATTGAGAGATGAAACCGGGGGGACACGATAAATATAGGGACTCGCTCTGTAATTATGTCGTTTGGTTTTTTCTCTTTTCTGGTATCGTGGGGGTCACTGGTCAAAGGGGGGACCACTTTTCTGGTATCTGCAGCTTTTTTATTTATTAATTTTTGGCGGGGGCGCGAGCGGCGAGCGTGGGTTGTGCGCCGCGAGTTTGTGGCCGTCGGATGAAGATAAAAGGCGGGAACGTGGAATGGGTTTGGACGGCTGAGATAAGGTGCACGGTGGGGGCGAGCGTCCAATTGAGAAGCGTATAATTCGGGAACGTGGTGGGCTGGACTGGTCGGGCCCATTTCGGTTTTTGGGTCGGGCAGGTTCGTCGGTCCCCCACGGTTGCATCTATAGGTGTCAATCGGGCGGGTTCGGGCTGGGTTCAATCGGGTTTGGGTTCAAACGGGTTACGGGTTAGTCGGGTTGCGGGTTCATCGGGTTCGGGTTCATCGGGTTCGGGTTCAAACGGGTTGCGGGTTAGTCGGGTTGCGGGTTCATCGGGTTCGGATCCAATCGGGTTGCGGGCAAATCGGGTTGCGGGTTCATCGGGTTTTGGGTCGGGCGGGTTGCGGGCGGGTCGGGTTTCGGGTTGTTCGGGCCAGCGCATCAAGTAACTTAACTCATTACTCATTACCAACTTACACATTTTATTACACTAATTTAAAATATTTTCTCAACTTTTTAACCAATTTATTTCTACCTCGTATATATATACTTTATTTTTTGAATAAAACTAATCAAAATGTTAAATCAATTTGTATGACCTGCAAACTTGTTATGTAATTAATCATAATTGGTAAAGTATTATAGCTAATAGTAATGGTGATATTAATATTTGCAACCAAAAGACACCGTTAATTGTTTATTTGATATTTTAGTATTAATTCAGTAGTAATTGGATTAAAGTATCTCGTTTAGTATAACCATGCAAATCTGGTATTTGGCGTGTGGTATTTGGCAAAAGCATAGTGATAAAAGGAGTTATTTCAAAATAACTCATTGCCCAAATAACTTTAGTAAACTGTTGTCAAACGAGTTATTTGTAAAATTGTTCGAATTATCCTAAAAATCAAATCATTAAAGATTAGCTATCAAATTTAGTAAAATTATTGCGACTTCAATCATAACTTACTCAATAGCATATATCCTATACACTTAGCTTTACCCTCAATCAACAATATTAAGTTAGTATATGTTGTTGATTGTATACCCTAAACCATCAATACATTATACACTAACCACATAACCTATACCCTAACCATATGTCCTTGAGTTGTGATTTTGCTAGTATAGTTAATTTAAAAGTGAAATTCATACTTTGATTTTCAAAACATAGATAAAAAGTGATATTTGCTAATTGCTATACCCTAACCATATATCCTATACTTTACACCACATACCTTGTACCCTAACCACGTACCATAAACATAAATTAAAAAGGGATCTCCTGCCGTTAAAGACTTCAAATGACTTCAAGTGAACATATGTTAATAAAAAACTTAGAACCGTCAAAACCATCAATATCTTATACCCTAACCATATGTACCTTATACCCTAGCCATATACTTTATATCCTAAACAACGAACCGTCAAAAATTACTTATCAAGTTTAGTATAAATTGTTGTAACTAATGGTTAATTTATTTATTAGCCCATAAAAATTACATACATATATACATATTAGCCTTCAAAGCATATAAGAATAATTTTAACTAGTCATGCCCTCCATATAAAAGTTAAAGATTCATATTTCAAAAGCTAAAATTATGAAAAACCAAAAAATTGAAAACACCAAATTTGTTTTCTTCTTTCTTTTCACAAATATACTAAAATTTCCCTCATTCTTATCATTTTTTTTGTACTAGAAGTACTTATAAAGGTTAAAAAATTGTCGAAGTGCTAAATCAATTTTATATTCTCTTAAATGATTTAGTTATTGTAATAATATGACTTAACAAACCAATCTTGATTCTCATTTTTAAACTAAAATGCAACTTGAGCATACCCCAATCTTGATCATGTAGTGCAGAAGTTGATCGAATGTAGAAGTATAGAACATCAAACTCCTGATAGGTTCTCTAATATATTATAGCCAATTAGGCATGTTGTATATGTCTACAATTAGGCTAACTATAGATAATATCTTAGTAACTAAATGTTAAATTCTTAAGTCTTAACTCATAACTATTAAAATTGTGATAATCACATCGATAAATAATTAAGTAAATGATCTACAATGTAAAATAATATTCATTTTAGATAATTAATTATATGCTCTCAAATCTACTATATCCAATTAGGTATTGTATAAGTCAACAATGATATTTACTATAGACATTTTACCATAAATTTACTATAGACAAAAAAAAAAAATTAAAATTTTAGATTGGAAATTCTACACATTCTACACATTCCCATTTATTTTGGCAATTCATTTGTTTTGATTTTTGAGGGAATTCATTTCACAGATTGCCGCCAAATATTTTTTGTTATGATAATTGTAATTAATTATATATTTATTTTTTGTAATGTTATATATATATATATATAGATTATGTTAGCATACGTCATCCATATGTTATCAGTCTTCATTTCCCGTAACTAACTGTTAGTCACGATTAATCACCATGAACAACATAACAATTTATCTTTGTAAAATTTAGATAAAAATAAAGAAGAATTAAAAAAAACCTAAATATTTGGAGGGAACTCCCCCTCTTTCATTTTGGCTCCAAAATTAGACATGGGTGAAAAACTTCCCCGCCTTCATTCACAAAAATTTAGCCTTCCCACCATTATTTCCCCTTAATTTTTGAACAAAATTTTTCTTTCCCCGCCTGTTTTACAAGAAAAGGACTTGGGCGGGATGCGGAAATTTCTGGCCGCTCTTTTTTCCATTTTGGGGGTTAATTTTTAGGACTCTTAAAATAGAGAAAGAAGAATCTAGATCCAGATCCCCTCTCATCCCACTCTGTCTCTCGCTCTCCTCTCTTCTGGAAAGCGATCCAAACCAAATCCATGCTCCATCTCCCTCACGCCTCTCAATCTTCCTTCGCCCTCTATCCTTTCCTGGAACAAACGAAAAGTGGAAGAAAAGTTACAATCCACTCCTTCTTAAAGAACCACACCGATGACGAGCATCATGTTGAAATAAATTTGATGTTTGATAGATTCTGACCAATTCCTTATTTTGCAGGTAGTCTCTCTATTCTTACTAGTAAGGTTCAGTTAAGGCGAAGGGAGGAGGAGCTCCTACAACCTATAGAGGCCACTTTTGTCGCCCCGCGGTGTCTCTTACGTTTCTCAAGTCTAGCGTCGTCGAACAACAACTGGTAGCTACAATTGCTGCTTCACAAAAGAAAGGGGAAAGCAAACAAAAAAGAAAAGGGTAAGGGCGAAGATGGCGTACTAACAAGGAAGGAGATTGAGATGGATCAATCAAGCTGTGCTGCAGCATTGACAGGAAGAGGCTCTGCTTCAGTCCAGCTAGACACGAAGAAGAAGAAGAAAGGAGAAGCAGAGCCAAACGGCAGCGTATAGATTAAGTGATGGAGTGCTGCCGTTTCACTTAGTCGTTAGGCTCTTATTTCCGGTTTTACTGTACAGCAACACGTGCTTACTTGTAATTGGTTAGATTAGTTGTTAGTTGTAATTAGCCGTTAGTGTACAGTGGATTAGGAACTCTGTATATATTTGAAACTTCATTCAATGGAAAGGCTCAACGAGCGATTCCCCCAGATCTGTCCATTTCTTCTTATGGTATCAGAGCCTGGTTGCTCACATTTTCGCTAGGGTTTCGTCCCTTAGTCTTTCCATTTCTTCAACATCTCCACCTCCTTCTTTTGTCTGAAAAATGTCTGGTGAAACGTCTGAATCTGATCTGAACAGAGAAGATCCATCCAAAACTGGATCAGGCAAGCTCGTTGCCTATGAAGATCCTTACCTGAACCCATACTACCTGCCGCCGCAGGATGGAGCTCTCTCTACCATCATCTCGGTCAAGCTCGTCGACGGCAACTACCACACATGGAGCCAAGTGATGCTGGTTGCACTGGGTACCAAAAACAAACTGGGTTTTGTTGATGGAACCATTCCACAGCCAAAGGTAACAGATCCAATCTATCAGTCTTGGTTGCGTTGCAATGGAACCATCCGTTGCTGGATTTACAATTCCCTTGCTGAAGACATTGCTAATAGTGTCATGAGGTTAGAGAGTGCAAAAGCTGTGTGGGATAATCTAAGGATCAGATTCAGTCAGGAAGACAATATTAGGGTTTTTGATTTGCAAACCCAGCTTGCTAAGTGCCACCAGGAGGACCAATCTGTGAATCAATACTTTACTAATGTCACTGTTTTGTGGGAAGAGCTTAAGAAGTACAGACCCATTCCAGTTTGCCCTTGCAATGGACCATATGAAACCCTAAAGAGATACCAGGACAATGACTTTGTGATTA